CCCCAAAACCCCAAAACCCCAAAACCCCAAAACCCCAAATATTTTATAAATTTTGAACAAATATGAAAACTTACGGAGAAATGAAGCATTTTGGGAAGCCAAAGTCCTTATCTCGGAAGAAGGCAGATAAGAAGCAGAATTCTTCTGCTAACACTTCTCTGAACACTTCCAAAATTTCCATGAACAAGGCGAAGTTCAAGGCTGGAATGGATTATTTCTTAGAATCAGGGCTCAAACAGAGTCAGAAAGGTTCTTCTAAATAAGTCTAAGAAGAAGATTAAGCCTAGAAATCAGCCTAATGACAAGGTCAGGGAGTCTGGGATTAATCATTTTGGAGAGAAAGGCAACAGGTCTGCGTCCCCTCATACTCTTAGTATCACTAAGACTGCAATGAAGCGAGGAAGGAACCATAATGCTAAGAGTAATTATAAGGACAAATTCAATTACCAGGCTGAGTACAATACTTTTAATACAAGTTTACTTGCTAAAAACCCTACGTTTGATTATTTACAGAATAAATCTATGAATCGGTCCGAGCTAAATCGAACACAGAAGAAGGCAGATCTCGACCGCAAGAAGTTTTCAGAGTCACAGATTATTACTAAGAATAATGCTGGTGCAGTAAGTAACCTTGGGATCTACCAGAATAAGACCTTTTATACTGTAAATCAGCCTAAGAGAGCAGGAACTACGCTTACGAGCTACCAAGAGGACTCTAAAAGAAAGAGAGCTATCAAGAAATTAGTGACTAATATCAATATGTCCAATCCATCGAGTGGATCTAATAGCAGAGTAAATCATCGACAAGGAAAAGACAATATCCTTCAGGTCCAGAATCAGTACAAGTCTAGTGTGAAGGGAAACGAAAAGATCTTCCTGCCAATATACGAGGTCCTGAATCACGCCAGGATAGATAGGCATTCAAGTAAATAACAGACTAAATGACCTTCTTCATAAATCAAATCCGATTCGTAAGACTATATTTGTGCTAAACCATAAATCTTCTGTAGGTCAAGGAATTGAATCCCTCAATAAATCAAATGAGGTAAAGATCGATAAGAATTCTCTAACTTACGACGACATGAAAGGAGTAGATAATTTGAAGAAACGGGAATCAATTCCATCAAACCATAAGAGAAAGCTTGCATATAAGTCAAATATTGCTAAAAAGTCCAGCTCTAGCTGAGGAGTACGCAAAAAGGATATCCATCCTGACCCAGCAAAGCTGTATAACAGGACTGATGCTATAATGAAGAATGAAGGAATGATTGCGAGCAGGAATAATGCCTATAATTCCCTCGGTGATTGCTACAAAATGCCAACAGTGACTGAGAATAACAAGTTCGAGAGAGTTCTTCCAAAGAATCAAGAAATAAATAGAGCTGCTAGTACTTCCTTCAACGTCACAAAAGTTGCAGATATCAATTCAGATTTGCTGTAAGAAGAGCTGTTCATGTTTAGAGGGCATAACTTATATCAGAAGCAAACTCTTGTTGGTAGTAATAGAAAGGGGAAAGAATCCGAGCTTAAAGAAAGTAGCACACATATTTCTCACACTAATAACTCAGACTCAAGATATAAAAATTCATTGATCAACCCAAAGACAGAGAACAGTTGAAGATTACAGTTTGATACTGGAACAAGAGAGGAGAGTAAACGGAGCCATGATTTGTCCTTCAAGACTACTTCCCATCTCAATAATCCTGAAGAGCTCAGCGAAGTACTAAGACAATATAACCTCGACAGTGCTGTAGATGCCAAGAGACTGCTTGCCTCCGGAGCATTGACTCAGGCAACAGCTGATTCTGAAAACGGAGTTATTTCATTACTAAAAGTGATCAAAGACCAGGAGATCAAACTTGAAGCTTATAAAAGCAAAGAGCAACACTTCATTGACAAGATTTATAACCTTGAAAGGAAGCTCAAGGAGTCTAATCATAAGATAGAACTACTAAATTTGGAGCATGGGAGAGAAGTCGCATCCCTAAAATCTGAGCTTGAGAAGAAGAATGAAGAAGCTTCAGAGAAAATAGAGAATTTTATAATGAACCAACTTGATCTAGATGCATATAATATCACAAGCGATGATTTTGGAAGTTCTAAAGGAGAGAGTGAAGCAAATTTCTGAGCAGGAAAGGCCAAAGGTGCCTCAAAAATATCCAAAAAGACTATATCTGTTCACCCTCTGGTGCCTAAATTAGACCTCCAAAAGATATTTGATTGGCGAGAAAAGGCAAATAATGATAATGTTATCATGATCAGGATTTCTGAAAGCAGAATTGAAGGAGAAGATAACTTCAGTAATAGCGAAATTGAGAATTTTAACGAGAGTGTTCTCAGAGATCCTAAAGTCAAAGATAACATCAAGATATACTTTCCTAAGGGCACTCCTGCTAAGAGTTCATCTGATAGGATCCACTCTTTGTTAGAGCGAAAACAGATGATTATAGATGCTCTGAACACAGCTTATAGTGAAGATGATGAAGAAGATGACTAATATTTTAAATATAATTTTCCTATGAATTCAAAAATTAAACAAGGAAAAGGGGTTTTGGGGTTTTGGGGTTTTGGGGTTTTGGGG